CTTACCTGTCCCTGTCTGTCTACTGGGAGTGAGATTTCTTACTCTGACCCGCCTTGAACTGTCTGTACCTGGCGCACTAATTACCTCTCAAGATAACCGTTTTCATCAGTTTAGAGTTATGGATGGAATAGGCTTCAATGGGCTCTTCCTTTTAATGGATTTCCCTTGCCAACAGGGGAAACAACTTCCTTACATAGGTGTAAGGAAGTAATGTTTCCTTTTTCCACTTTGTTCCTCAGGTATCTTGTATATAGTGATCATATCCCCTCTTTTTTTTCTTTAATGTTATGAGGTTGGGTCCTCAACCCATAGTCCTCGTAGTCGAGTCCCCTCAATTCTAGTACAAATCTAGTTGCAACCATTGAAGTTTCTCAATTTTCATTTTGCGCTTCACAAGGTGTGGGTTTCATGCTGATGCTGCATACTCAGGTAATAGCAATGTGTATGGGCTAGATTACCTGCTTCATGGGATTCTGAGAGTTGTTCTGCTCCCCAAGCCCGGCCCGAGGCCAGGCCTTGTGAGGCCTTGTGTGAATTTGGTCCAATAGGCTGTTGCTTGGAGCGGCCCGCAGGCTAGAAAGCCTCATTGTTTAGATTCTTGTAGATCTAATATTGATGATGTTATGTTTGCTGACTTCACATATGTTGCTGATGTTATCCTCATGACACGAGTCTGGTGTTGGTGTTGGGATTATGTCCGCTCCTATGTCTTTTTCTTATTGTTTTTTGTAATTGTCTTCCCCTTATGGTGTAGATATGGATCTCGTCATCTTCTTTACACATTTAGATGTAATTTCAACAGCCATTCATCTGTCAACTCCTGAAGTTTGTAGAGGTTTCCTCCAGCACCCTACAGTCCTCTTTAGTTCTTAATCCTCTTTAACTTTGCATCTGCACACACAAGAGCTCGTACGTACGAGCTCACTCATTCTGAGAGGTCTCGTATCGTTATTTTTCTCCGTGTGTGGCTATGTAACGGCTTAGGTTGGCGCTTAGCTTTTTGCCACAAATGTCATTTTCAAACTGCTGAGAAAATATCATTTTCAAACTGCTGCTCAGCTGCTCTACTGATAATAGTGCACTCATTTGGGGCCCTCTTGCCTCTGTTCTCATATGCCAATCCAATACACCTAATACCTATACCCATATACCTATACTTTTCCATGCCTCCTTTTTTTTTTTGTCTTTCCCTTCAACACACACGTAGGTGTGGAGGACAGACTGTGTGTAAACAGTGATGCGGGTGGGACTCTTCTCTTTTTGCCGGAAGGTTGAGTGAATGGGATGGGGAGGTGAAAAGGAATGTGGCCGTGGGAGGGAGGGAGGGAAGGAAGGGAACGGGGGGTGGGGGGGGGGACATAACTTCACGACTCTCACGGGTTTGAAGTTTAAACCCAGACACTGACTTAGCCAGCAGCTACCTCCTGGGTACATGTAGTCACTAGTAGCAGCAGCAGCAGCAGTGTCTCCTGTCCATTTCTTCTCGCTCAATATTATCTTGGCTTGCAAGGTGTTAGTGCATTTGGATACGAGCATAAATGTGTTGTTAACCCAGAAAGTTTCGAGCGTTGCTGCTGATTGATCCCCCCCCCTTTATAAATCCTCCCTCACACACTCACCCCGCCCCTCTTCTCCACCAGTCGTGCCCATCTCCGCCCCTTTGTTAAGGGTATGTGGGTAGGGGGTGGTGGTGGGTAGTAGACCTTAGGCGCGCGTGGAATGTCCGCTGCCGCCCTCTCTCCCCCTTGTGCCCACTAGTGGGTGGGTGGAGACGGTAGCCTCGCACCTGGCCGCCCACCACCACCTTAATGACTTTACCTGTGGCCATGTTTAAAGTTCAGTAGTAACCTTAGCTCTACCACCGAGGAAATGTACATGTCTGAGAACTTGCCGCTGACCGTCGACTGCTTTTAACGTAGGCTTGTCGAGTCGCATCCCGTTAGTCTCTGTTGCCAGCCGGTATTCAAGGTAAGCGAAACTTAAACGAAATTTGTAGTAACGTTGTGTGTTTTCTAGGCTGCTTTTGGCTACAGGTTCCTTCAATTATTTCTCCTGTCCTACCAAGGTTTGATCTAATGAGGTGTGATGCTGAAGTTCAAACTCGCGACAGTCATTTTTATGAGTCTTAAAGAAAGCAGTGTCATAGTTAATTTGTTTAGGTAGTATGCAAGGAGCGTGTCCCAGTGAGGGCGCGGCGGATATTCGTATAGACAGTGTGTGGAGGAAGCAGTCAGTCAAGTCAGTCTCCAGGTGGTTTAAGAGAGTGGTATTTGTGTAGTGTGTCGCCACTTTCCGAGGTGGCCGGTAAGGCCCAGGTGTTGCCGGAATGTCTTGGGAAGCTTCGTGCGAGCAGGAATGTTGTGGTCAGCGTGATGGTGGTGATGGCCAGGGAGAGGGAGAAGCTCTCTCGCGCTCGTCCTCTGCATCTCGCGCCGCCTTCTCGCATCTGTCGCGCGCAAAGGGCGCGTTAATAGAGGTATTCAGGGGGGGGGGGGTAAAATTAGTGGGTGGGCGAGTGGGTAGAGGACTTTTGCAGGTGGGTGGCCTGGTATTTAGGCTCCGCGTGGATAACTGGGAATGCAGGTGGGTGAGCGGTTGGTCCGGTATTTAGACACACGCGGGTGGACATCTGGGATGCAGGTGGGCAGGTATTTAGGCCCGGGTGAATACAGGTGGGTTAGACAGGCCGCCGTTACAGATGGAATGGGGCACCAGGAAGGTATCGTACCTTGTACGGTCGGGCTAGGGGGAAGGTGGGGGGGGGGGGGGGCGCAGATAACATCACGCGTAGTGTTCCTCTTTTTCGACATGTTGGAATGTCCGCAGGTCTGATTGTAAGAAGTTGGAATGTCTGTTACATCCCCCCTTTCCTCCTCCCTCCCCCCACTTCATCGCTCCCCCCTATCAGGTGAGGGGGAAAAAAAGTCTAAAGTGTTTTTCAGCTTTTCTCTTACCATCCCGACTCCTCCCCCCACCCCCACCCCCCCCTCTCTCTCTACCTTGCTTGGTTGCTGGGGTCCCGCGAGCGTACCAACCGCGTGGTGGTACCTGGCACTGACCTCTTGATACCAGCACGCAAATCCCTTGCGGCATCCCCCCCCCCCCCCCCCCTCCCCACCAACTGGTGCATGTCGCAATATCCACCGCGCTCGTGCCTGTCTGATGGTGTTATTCTTGTTATTCATAAAACCTTCGTTGTTATTGTAATGGTGTCTTATTCAATACCTTGTCCCTGCTTTCTTCCCTCCCCTTTTCGTTTTTAATGGCGCCCTTTCTCTCTCTCTCTCTCTCTCTCTCGTTTCACCCCCTGCCATCCCTTTCCTTCCCCCAGTTCCTCCTGGAGCCATCACCATGCCAACACACTGCCAAGTGGCGGGAAGAGGGGTGTGACTGGCGATGGTGGTAAGTGTGACTGACCGAGGGTGGAGCGTGGTGTGGTCATCCATTCCCCCTCCCTCCCTCCAATATCTCTTCCCTCCTCCTCTTTACATCTTTCTTCCCTCTTCCTCTGGTTTTAAATTAGGAGGGGTACTGTGTGCATGTGGTGGTGTTGATACGCTGTTCGTTCCCCCCATCACACTAACTTACCATCTCCCACGCCTCCATCTGGCTACTCGTTTCCCTCCTTTAGTGTCCTTTCTTCCAGTTCCCCTTTCTGTAGCCTCTTCCCCCTCCTTTTCATCACTTTAGAGTGTGAAATCTGGACTGGCGTTTAGGTAGTAAATACTACCCCCACGGTGTGGTGTCGCCTCCTGCACCTGCCTCGCCGCCTCCTGCACCTGCCTCGCCGCCTCCTGCACCTGCCTCGCCGCCTCCTGCACCTGCCTCGCCGCCTCCTGCACCTGCCTCGCCGCCTCCTCCACCTGCCTGGCCGTCGCTTGCTGCTTGCGTGGTCGGCCAGGCGAAACAAACACTTGGCTCATGTCTGACGAGGCGGCTTGTGTGCTTCTAGGAGAGGCTAGGACCATCATGGGAACGGACTGACACGGGTTTAGGATTTTTCTTTTTTCTTTTTCGGAGTTGTAGGTCACCCGGGTGGTCTCTTGTCACTCGTCTCTGAATCCCTTCCAACCCGCTCTCGCTAACCTGGTCTGATTTCTATGGGGACCCCTGGACGGGTTGTGTCGTGGGCGAAAATGTCTGTTATTTTTAGGGGTATTTACCTTGTTTTAAATATCTGCTGCGCGTTCGTTCACTTTCTGCGGGTACGGACGCACGCACAGCAGGGAGGTGAAGGTGGGGGGGGGGGATGAGTCTACACGGAGTTAGTGTGTGCAGACACCATCACCCACATGAAGCGGTGGTGGTGGTGGTGGTGAGCAGTGAAGCACGACACCCCTTGCAGGTGAGCTGGCCTGGCCATCATCAGCTCCATCATCACAGCCACGTCGCCGACAATGTTGCTTGCACACCCTTCCCCTCCCCTCCCCCCCCTCCTCTCACCCGCGCACAACCGCTACCTAGACAAAATCAGCAGTTTTGTGTAGTCGTGATTGAGGATGGTCTGCAGGCAGTGAAATCACGGGGGGGTTTTATTAGCTTCTGGGCCCTACTCGGTATTTTTATCCTTAGGATACAGCGTATTAATGTACAAGTCGGAGGGCAGTTGGGGGTGGGGGGGGGGTGGGGGTGGAAGGAACTGGTTGATGTATCGTATCGCTTGGAGGGAAGAAAGGGGGGGGGGCTGGAATTGGGGTTGAAAGTCCTTGTGAGGAATGTGGCAGAGAGCACTGGCCGCTTTTGCATCACTGGTGGTGGTGGTGGTGGGGGGGGGGATCTTGCTGCAGTACCCTAAGCCTGGATGGGTTATAACAGTGACCAGCCTGTTTAATTAATAATAAAGTATGCATTGCTAAGGATAGGCAAATAAGACTCGTATAAAACTACTTTTACTAATTTTTCCTTTATACCAATTTTGTCAATGTTAGTACTGTAAAGTGTTAAAATAATGATCAGGAATGAGAAAATGACGAGGTGGCTAATGAGTTGTGACTCGACAGGTGGGAGGTCGGCGTGCCCCGAGAGAGGTGGCCCTGCTGTTGAGGGTGACCCACGTACCCAATGTAGTGAAGCTCCTGGACTGGATAGAGCGTGACGACTCCTTTCTACTGGTGTTTGAGCGACCGGAGCCTTGCAAGGACCTCTTCGATTACATCACAGAGCGCAAGGTTGTGTCGGAGATCGAGGCGCGCTCCCTATTCAAGCAGGTGAGCCACACTATCTTTTGCCGGGTGTTTTTGTCCTGGCCATATTAATTTTTGGACTATATTAAAAAAAATTGTGTTGCACTTTTATGTAAATCTTTATTGATGGGAGCAGTGAATGACAAGTGTAGTAACCGTACTGCTTTTTTCTCCTGCAGGTGGTGGATATTGTACGTGATTGCCACGCTGCGGGCGTCATCCATCGCGACATAAAGGACGAGAACCTGCTCGTGACCTACGATTCCAAGGGCCGGCCTGTGCTGAAGCTCATAGACTTCGGCTCCGGCGCTCTTCTGTCTGATAAGAGCTACACCGACTTCGATGGGACGCGGGTGTATTCTCCACCCGAGTGGATCAGGCATAACCAGTATGAAGGAGTGCCAGCCACAGTCTGGTCGCTTGGTATCCTCCTCTATGATCTTGTCTGCGGCGACATTCCCTTCGAGCACGACGAGCAGATTGTGGCGGCGCGGGTACAGTTTCGGACGACAGTTGGCGAGGACTGCCAACACCTTGTGCGATGGTGTTTGCGGGTGCGGCCCACTGAACGGCCCTCCCTCGACAGTATCCTGCAGCATCCATGGCTTGTCAATCCTCAGGCCACTAGGATTCGTCATCCCGACCAATCTTCTCTCGACAAGTGTTCCACCTCGTCTCAAGAGTCGCTTTGATGGCGGCCCCCTCTAGCGGTGCTGTAACTTGCACCCAGCCTCGCCTTTAGCACGGCTCTCACGCCATCTCCTTTCCCAGCGATAGGATGCCGCCCACATTGTGGCCTCGCACACCTGATCTGCGGGCAGCATCCTTCACCTGGGCATGTGGGTATTGCCACATATCATCCCTCATACCAAAGCTGGGGCTTAAGAAGCCCACCTCTCACTGTGGGGATGTAAATTGTGGTGGTGCCTGTGTACAGTTCCCCCCTTGCTGGCACCCTGGCGGTGCGTTGTCCCTGGCCGGGGGTACTGAGGATCTCCGGCCGTATTTATGGTGCAGCCCAGCCCGAATCGGCCCACCCTGGGGTCGCACAACTATTTATTGCCTGCAACCTCGCCCGGGGGCTTCGTGCCCCTGAACCACCTACCGCTGCGCCCCCCTCCCCCCCTATCCCGCTCCTCCTCGACGCTGCTGCTGCTGCTGGTGACGCCGTGGGGTGGGTTGTGCAGCGGTGGAGCAGCAGTCAAGTTGTGGGTGTGGTCCCTGCCGCCCCACACGCCCAACACTCTCACTCGCAATGCCAAACAATGCAGTCTCGGCTATCTTCTGAATGAGTTTTCAGGCTTGTAAACCAAAGGTTATGTTACGAGTCTAGACTTGTAAAAATGTAAAGGACTTAATTTATTTTGGTGCTTGACTATATGCGCGTGTAAAAAGTGTACATATTGATCTCCCCTTGTACAGAACTGATCATAAGCCATTGCTCAAGTGTGTAAGTTCTGTATGATATCAAAAGTCATAAGTCTGACAAAAGTAAATGTTTGTAGTACTATTTGCTTGGACCTGTGAACCCTTCGTCGGCTCCCCCCCCCCCCCTCACAACAAACAGCATATTCCAAAGATGTTGCTAAATTGATGCTCGGTTGTGGAGAAGCTCCTTGTGCCTAGTTCCCGTCTTCAACGGGGAAGTTATAAATTAGCCTTTAATAGGCTAATAACTTGTTTGAGAATTATTATTTAAATCATTTTAATTGTGCCATCAGAACTGACTTATTATTATTTATTTTTTTTATAAAGTCTTGTATAAGTATTTGATGATTAATTTTGTTTGAAACTTCCGTCTTGAAGACCAGACTGTGGCATCTTGGGGAAAGGTATACGCCGATTTTGTACATTTTACTTCCATATTTTGGTTGCTAATTATTTTCAGATTCAAACTATAAAAGAATTGTTATATCTAGAGGACATTTATTGATTTTTTTTGTTAATTATAGAATTGGATATAAGATGTGGCCATATGCATGTTTTCTTCAGTTATCTTGTTTAAACATTCTATAGTTTACCTTTCAACAAATTTTAGATTTTAATGAACCAAAATTAAATTAAATTAGAATTTTCTCTCGATACCGAACCAGCTTGGGAGAAAGGGGACAGATGGAGGAAAAATAGTCTATGCAGTTTCCCCCCTCCCCGAGTAGGGCTTCTGTACATCTGTTCTCTCTTAAGCTGCTCCTTAGGTTGGCACCCTCCAAACACACACCGAAACTACGACGTTGGTACAACGTTCGAACAAGTTTTAACACCACCTATCCAGTTATAACAACCAATATAGCAAGTTGTAACAACGTTCTAATACGTCATAAACACGTTAAGCCAAGATGTAACAACTTTATTACAAGTTGTAACAAGCGGAAAATAGAGACAGTTTCGGTTTGTGTTTCCAGGGCATGCACTACAGTATGTCTTGGAAGTCGTATTTGCTACACACAACATCCCTAATAATTGTGTTGCTGTAGTTGGGACAAATGGAAATATTTTTGTTGTACACTAATAGAGAAAATTCAGCTCTGGCGAATTGGTAGTTTTTGTAATGCCGTCTCCAACTTTTTGAAAAGCATTATTATTTTCAGCAAATTCTTTAGTCCAATTTTGGTGTCCTACGATGTATTTGGATTTTTCTGGGCGGTCTTAGAGGCCCAGGCATTGAATTAGATGTTTATTTAAGTCAAGTTTTGTATGCAAAGTCCTATGTCCTCGTGTCACCAGGTTTGTTGTGGCCAGTCTTGGAACGCAGTTGTACACCTGCTGTGTCCTTATCCATCCTCCGTTTTAGAGGGGCCTGTATGAAGCTATTTGCTTCTGCTCTTAATTAAATTTGTATTAAAAAGTGCGTGTATATGCATATATATAATATATGTAATATGTGCAGGTTAGATTAGGTTACTTCAATATTTTGTTCTAAATTGCTGACTAAAGATGTCCAGCTGCGTGTCCAAGATTTTACCTCTTTTATGTTGCGTATATTTCACACACACATACACATGCTGTTGGCTTGGGGAAGAAAGGGGGACATCTTAAAGGTTGATAATTTAAGGACTTGAGACTTTCTATCCAGTCTGACCGCGAAGTCTGCTCTTTCTTCCAAGAGTCCAGCAGAGCAGAATTGTCTTAAATATGTGGAGGTAGAGGTGAAGTATTAAGGGCTTTTGCAATAAGAATTTTATTGTTTTGTGTCAACTTGGTACAGCTTTGGAGACGTGGCAAATGTTATTTCAATTGCCAAAAAATAACAACTCGTTGAAATATGCATGTGCTGTGTCCTTGAAGAAAAAGACAAAATATATGTTGTACATTGTATAAAAAAAAAACAAAAAAAACCCATTGATCTGCATTTCATGCAAGATTAAATCTCATACATTCTGTTTTTTAACTTTGTTAAAAAAAAGTAACCTTTATTTATATTTTTTTTATATATAAAACAGACCGTAGGTAAGTTTACTCTGGCGGTGACATTGTGAATAAATATTGTATCCATGTGAGTTCTGTGACTTGAGTTCCGTCACAAACCCTGCCTTCTGAAGCAATTTCCCAGGCCCTTAAGTACCAGTTCACCGTTTAATTACTAAAAACCTGAATAGTGGTTAAAGGGGGGGGGGATATAGAGTAAGTAAAGATAATATTCTTTTTCTTTTAATTAGGAACTTGCAAGAAACCATTGATGTTTTAAGAATTTTTTCTAAAGAGGGGTTGTAATTATATAATAATATTGTAAACAATTATAACAATTGAACACTTGTTATAATTGGATTGTTTAATGTGTTAGTGGTGAAGGCGCGGGTCGCAACAGGGTACTGAGGCCAGGTGGAGAGCTACAGGTGGCAGGGAGTGAGAGGAAGAGAGGCATTAGGCGACATAACTTTGTGTTTGGCAAGAAACCATAGAGAAGTATTTTTGTAAGTAAATAAAGTGAAAGAATTGACCTATTTGGTATTTTTTGATCCTACGATGTTGTTGATAATTTCTAAGAGAATATTGTTGAAATTTCATTCCTCGTCAAGATCTTTATGATCCAAAAATTAAATTTTAAACTTTGTCAAATGATCTGGTGTTAAGAGAGGAGACACAAGCTCATATAATGAACCTGAAGCCTTGATGTTTTCTAGGGGAACTAAAGTTCCAAAGCTTTGGAACTATCCTGAAATTTGGTATTGGAAAGTGAAACTTATATAAATATTTTATATTTCAAAGGACATTAGTGATTTATGCAAGAACACGTAGTTATATCATGACATATACTTGGGCATTGCATATAAAAAACTACAACAGCCAGTATGACGTGGAAAATAATTACACAAAATAATAAATTATTAAAATTTTTATTGACAATGAATTACAATTTTGCCTAATCTGAGGATTTCAATTGTCTTATTAAAGTGAGGATAATGCTGGTATTCACTCGGGCAAGACAGAGGGTCATACACAAGACAATAGGTCTAAACTAGCACACATATATATCATGGTTCTTGTTTGTATGTATATGTAGAAGCAATATTCTATTGTGCACTGCCACATAAGGACAGGGATGGGTTCATAAGTGATGCAGCTTAGAAGTAATATAAATAACATTGTTCTTCATTCCTTAAAATGCACAGGCAAATTTTGCATAAATCGTCAGTATGTCGTCCAGAACACCTGAGTCAATGAAATAGTTACACAGTTGGTGGTACAATAGGCCAGGAGGTCTAAAATCTTTTACGGTTTCACATTCAACAATATAGTGTTCTAGTGAATGCATTAAAGGTTTATCACAGAGTTTACAATCTGAGTATTCTGGTAGTGGGTGGGCCTCACTAACCTGCCAGATGTCTATAGCCAAGGCGAATTCGCGCAATGACATCACATTGCCTGGTCCAGTTAATGTGCTGACCATACAAATACCTATTATTACACAAGTTGTCATAGCTCTTAATACTGCAGCTTTCAGGTCTCTGGGCATTTCTTAGTTCTTCTAAATCTTAATTAAAGAAATTAATTTGTATATTTCTAATAACTGCATTAGATAGTCCAAAGTCATAATCAGTGTTTTCTTTCCTGCAAGCCTCATTGGCCAATCGATCTACAAAAGTCATGTTTCCCAACTCCAACATGGGATGGGATCCACACAAATTTTATACAATAGTTATTATCATTGACAAAAATTACATTACATTTAATATTACAAGCTACTTCAGACATACATTGTGATGGGTGATTTAAGGACTGCAGAGCACTTTCAGAGTCGCAGAATATCACTACACCACCATTGAGCTTAAGGTACTCAGTGGCTAGATAAATACCCAATAGCTCAGTAACAAAAGGCCATTTTCTCGTCGCTCGAGTGTCTGAATGAAGCCTTAAGACAAATTAGCAAGTAGCATAAGCTTCGGAGACGAAGGGTAATAGAATATAAATTACATACAAATTGGAAAAGAACACACACATAAACATAACACGAATTTATAGATTTAATGTAGCCTATTTTTTGTTTAACAATTAATTACATAATAAAGCGGGATGAGGCAATTCGTGCTCCTGTCGCCTCGTTAAATACGTGCTCAGGTATTTCCACATTTCAAACAACTGAAATACTTTATTATTATATTAAACGTAAACATATATATCATAAAAAATACGATAATTAAATAGAAATACACAAGATGGGCTTGGGTGAATTTGAGAAGTTTTTCGAAATGTTCGCCATTTTGAGAAGTCATGAGTCCGTCTCATTATCTTGCATTCTTCTGCTGCTGTTTCATAGTCTTCCCGGTCACCTTCTTGTGATGATTACTTACTTGCATTCTTCTGATGCCTCACTTCTACTCTCAAGCTCGAATTGTTGACCTCTCTGATCTGTATCTTTATCGTGCTCTAATCTAAGGTTTTTCCATTCTAACCTATTTCATCACCTGTAGCTGTTTTTTAGACTCAATCTCTACCCTCTCCACGTAGGGAGAGGATAGAGATCACGTCTCTTTACTCCAAAAAAAAGAGGCTTGTCACCTCTTCTCTCGTCCTTAGCGAGTAGAGGTGACAAGTCCTGACCCACTATCCAGGACGTACCTTGCCTCTGACATTGCATTAATCAGTTGGTGGCGGTTTGCAACACTTCCGACCCCCTGTTGTTAATATAGCCCCAATCTCCACAAAAACCTGGATTCTATTCCCGGGAGGGGGCAGAGATGATTGGGCAAGTTTCCATTCATCTGATGCTCCTATTCACCTAGCAGAAAATAGGTACCCAGTAGCTAGGAAGGTCATTAGTTTACTTTCATCAGTCTAAGTACAAGCTTCCTGACCAGACAACAGGAATTATTGACATTATTTTTAATGTCAAAATTACCTCTTTTTTGGGGTGTGTTACGAAATTATCTGACTGTTCACTGTGTCATCGCAATTGTCCCTGCGAACAAACGTATAATATGGCAACAGTGGGATTAATTTAAATAATTTTGATCCTTAATAACAAGGAGCCTATTAAACTACGGCGTGGCATAGGCTGTTATCATGCGGGGTCATCATCCCTCTGGAGCACACAACTCTCCCACCACATGGGTCATTATACCCCGCCCCAACACGCCCATACCACCCACGCCCACACCACCCACGCCCCAACACACCCACGCCCACACCACCCACGCCCCAACACACCCACGCCCTGGGCTACACCTCTAAAATACACCTGTGGAAACAGACGGAAATGGGAACTTACCTGAAAATTTGTGGCTGTCTGTCCCTTGAATACCTGTAATCTTACCTGTATAATGGCATGAAAGCGAATGTATTAATTTACTTCAGTAAAAAGCTTTTATACATTTACACACACACTGCATTTTTTTGGGCTGTCGGAAAGCCTTTGACACAGTACCCAATAAAAGGCTGATGCATAAGCTGGAGAGACAGGCAGGAGTGACTGGTAAGGCGCTCCAGTGGATAAGGGAGTACCTAAGCAATAGGAAGCAGAGAGTTACAGTGAGGTGTGAGACCTCAGATTTGCGTGAAGTCACCAGTGGAGTCCCACAGGGCTCTGTACTCGGACCTATCCTGTTTCTGATATACGTAAATGATCTCCCAGAGGGTATAGACTCATTCCTCTCAATGTTTGTTGACGACGCCAAAATTATGAGAAGGATTAAGACAGGAGGACAGCTTGAGGCTTCAAGAAGACCTGGACAAGCTGCAGGAATGATCAAACAAATAGTTGTTAGAGTTTAACCCAAGCAAATGCAATGCAATGAAGATAGGTGTAGGGAGCAGGAGACCAGATACAAGGTATCATTTGGGAGATAAAATACTTCAAGAGAGAGAGAGAAATACCTGGGGGTTGATATCATGCCAGACCTGTCCCCTGAAGCTCATGTCAAGGGGATAACATCAGCGGCATATGACAGGTTGGCTAACTTGAGAACGGTCTCTGCGATGATTCTTGTGTAAGGAATCTTTCAGAACTTTGTCTACTACATATGTCAGACCAATCCTAAAGTATGCGGCTCCAGCATTGAGTCCATATCTAGTCAAGCATAAGACTAAACTAGAAAAGGTTCAAAGGTTTGCCACCAGACTAGTACCCGAACTGAGGGGTATGAGCTACGAGGAGAAACTACGGGAATTGAACCTCAAGTCACTGGGAGACAGAAGAGTTAGAGGGGACATGATCACCCCACACAAGATTCTCAGAGGAATTGATAAGGTGGATAAAGACAGATTATTTAACACAAGGGGCACACGCCCTAGGGGACACGGGTTGAAATTGAGTGCCCAAATGAGCCATAGAGACGTTAGAAAGATTTTTTTCAGTGTCAGAGTAGTAGACAAATGGAATGCATTAAGCAGTGATGTGGTGGAGGCTGACTCCATACACAGCTTCAAGTGTAGATATGATAGAGCCCAATAGGCTCAGGAACCTGTACATTAGTTGATTGACAGTTGAGAGGCGGGACCAAAGAGCCAGAGCTCAACCCCCCCGCAAGTGCAATTAGGTAAGTACACACACACACACAAATTGTGTGTGTGTGTGTGTGTGTGTGTGCCTCTAAAATTAGGGGCCTCGTAGCCTGGTGGATAGCGCGCAGGACTCGTAATTCTGTGGCGCGGGTTCGATTCCCGCACGAGGCAGAAACAAATGGGCAAAGTTTCTTTCACCCTAAGTGTCCCTGTTACCTAGCAGTAAATAGGTACCTAGGAGTTAGTCAGCTGTCACGGGCTGCTTCCTGGTGTGTGTGTGTGTGTGTAGTGTGGAAAAAAAAAAAAAAAGTAGTTAGTAAACAGTTGATTGACAGTTGAGAGGCGGGCCGAAAGAGCAAAGCTCAACCCCCGCAAAAACACAACTAGCAAACACACACACACACACACACACACACAACACACACACACACACACACACACACACACACACACACACACACACACACACACACACACACACACACACACACACAGATGTTAGGAAGTTTTCTTTTAGCGTGAGAGTAGTAGAAAAATGGAATGCACTTGGGGAACAGGTTGTGGAAGCAAACACTATTCATACTTTTAAAACTAGGTATGATAGGGAAATGGGACAGGAGTCATTGCTGTAAACAACCGATAGCTAGAAAGGCGGGATCCAAGAGTCAATGCTCGATCCTGCAAGCACATATAGGTGAGTACATATAGGTGAGTACACACACACACACACACACACACACACACACAACACAACATACAATGATCACATTTTTTAACCATTTTTGAACCACACCAAAATAAAGAAGAATCCGAGGCGAAGGTGGAGGATCTAAGTGGTGGTGTTTATTGTCTTGAAGAATGAGGAATCGGAGGGGGGGTGGGGAAGGGTTCCTTGGTACCAGCGATTGAACCAACATTTCTTGCGATAGACTCATACAGAAGCTCACACGATAGCCTCATACAGAAGCTCACACGATAGCCTCATACAGAAGCTCACAC